TTCGCCACGTACAACTTCTCCTATCTGCCATTTGCAAGCGTTGTGGTAGAGTGCTGTTGGCGCCCGAGAAGAGGTCGGTGTGGTTGAACAGGACGAGGAAGGCCACTAAGGACGTGCAGCAACAAAAAGGAGTTTTTCGCAAGCTCGTCGACACTTGTAAAAAAGTGCGACAATGTCCCTACTGCGATGCCTATAATGGTGCTGTCAAGAAGGGTACTCGCGGGTATATGACGCTTGTCCATGAGCTCCCCAAGGACCAGGCTAAGGTAGAGTATCAACAGCAGTACTCAGATGCCGTCAGTAACAACCCCGAAATCGGCAATCACCTCAGCAAAGTGGCTTATGAGGACCTCACTCCCCTCCATCTGCTCCCGTTGCTGGCCAAGATGCCTCCTTCCGATCAAGAAATGCTAAAGTTACCGCCTCAGCCGGAGCGACTCGTTGTCACGCACGTGCCTGTTTCGCCGGTTTGCATTCGCCCTAGTGTTCAGATCGGTGATGCTGGTACTCAAGAAGACGATTTGTCGGTGCAGACGAGCGATATTGTGGCTACCAACAATAACATCAAAGCTACTCTATCTAGGGGAGGGACGTTGAAGCAAGTGGCCGAGCAGTGGCAGTGGTTATCAGCCCAAGTGGCGTTGATGATGAACTCGGAGGCGACTGGGTTGGCAGCTGCGGCTCCTACGACTAAGCCGATCAGAAGTATATGCTCTCGGTTGAAGGGAAAAGAGGGGCGTTTTCGAGGGAATCTTTCGGGAAAACGAGTGAATTTTTCCGGTCGAACTGTGATTAGTCCGGACCCGAATCTCGAAGTCACTGAGGTTATCATCCCACAGTACTCGGCGATGAAGTTGACGTTTCCCGAGGTTGTATGTCGCACCAATATCGACATGCTCAGAGATAGAGTCATTAGAGGCACGGAGGGCCATCCAGGAGCACACATTATTCGGCTTAAAAGTGGTGGTGTGAAGAACTTGGCCTTCATCAAGAAGCAAATCAGAGAGGAGTTGGCGGCGGACCTACAGTATGGCGATGTGGTTGAGAGGCACCTCCAAGATGGGGACGTGGTACTGTTCAATCGGCAGCCGAGTTTGCATAAAATGAGTATTATGGCTCACCGAGCTAAGGTGATGCCGTGGAGGACCTTCCGCTTCAACGAGTGTGTGTGCTCCCCATATAATGCGGATTTCGATGGCGATGAGATGAACGTGCATTTGCCGCAAACCCAGGAGGCTCGAGCGGAGGCGTTGGCGTTGATGGGAGTTCAGAACAACCTGATTACGTCGAAGAATGGAGAGCCGATAGTGGCGGCCACTCAGGACTTCCTCACATCAGCGTGGTTGTTAACCCAAAGGGACACCTTTCTTACTAAGGATAAGATAGCGAACATTGCTATGTAATATGGTGGACTTTTTGAAGGGGACTCTCTTGATCATATTACTGTATTGGAGTTTCACCTTAGTGATATGAAAAACACTAGTGAGAAACATATTTCACGACTACTGCATATCACCGCGAATATCGCGTTTTTCGCAGAGTTTTACGCCACTTCACGTAGAACGGGTGAAACTCCATTGAATTGATAGATATCCACTATATGCTAAAACTGTATAGAATATTTTTATTTTTATATGTTGGCTGTATATACAAATATGTTCATACCATCTTTTAGGTATTTTGGGAAGGCAGCGGAAACGCTGGAGTTGCCGCCTCCAACGGTATGCTGAGGTGTGTCGCTTTAGGTTTATCGTGCATTGGTAGATTATGAAACCTATTCAGCTGTGGAC